GTAACCAGTTTTTTAAAAATCTGAAATGGCACAGTCCCTGCCTAGCAGATTTGTTAAGCTCATTGCATTATTGGATATATGTAAACAATTCCGTTTAACACACTGAGCACCTTCTGTGCACTTGAAGGAGACATGGGTTTTGGCTTTGAGGAGTTTATGTAAACACAGTTGCAGTGTGATGTAAGCTTTAATATTCTCCCCATGTCCTCTTTTGTCTCCTTCCTATCTGTGCTCCATGCAGAGCAGTTGTTTAGGACACATTAATCAGGTCATGCATCGCCCTGCCAAAATCATGCTAACTTTCATTGCACTTTGCATAAACCACAAGTTCCTCACCATGACTTCAGCACTGATTCTGGGCCCTGCCTTCTTCTCTAATCTCATCAAGCACTGTTCTCCTTTCTTCTCACGGACTCTCGCTACACCGGCCTCTTCCCAGTCCCCAAACCAGTTCTTTCACGGTCACGCACTGCTTAATGACCAGGACACATTCTGAGAAATGCACCGCTAGGCAATGCCATCACTGTGCAAACATCAGCGTGCACTTACATGAACCGAGATGGTGTCGCCTACTGCTCACCTAGGCTATATGGTAGAGCCTGGTGCTCCTTGGCTACAAGCCTGTGCTGCATGTTACTGCACAACACAACATGAGATTAAATCAAACACGGGGGAAAATGATGCAATGAAGACACAGAGACTGCATCGAGATGTATGAGGCTGCTGCCAGTGTAACATGGCATAGTTAGTTACACAGCAAACTTTTCTTATATAAGTAGAAAGAGGACACTCTAAAATAAAGGCAAAAAGTATGTAATAGTAAGTACATAAACCAGTAACAATCATTATTATCAAGTATTATGTACTGGATGTAATCATGTGTGCTATACTTGGATATGACTAGCGGTGCAGTGGGTTTGTATACACCAGCATCGCCACAGACACATGAGTAATGTATTGTGCTCTGACTTTATGACATCGCTAGGTGACAGGCATCTTTCAGTTCCGTTGTAGTCTTCTAGTTCCACCGTCATACATGTGGTCTGTGGCTGATGAAATGTATGTGGTGCGTCACTGTATTCCTCAGTACCCTCTGCCCCAAATTCCCATCCCGCCCACTCTTCCCATGGCTGACTCATCTTTCAGGTCTCAGCTTGATTCATTTGGGTTCTTAGTTACAAACAACAGAGTTTGCTCTGCCTGGGAAAGGACTTGATGCATTCATGGAGGCTCCCGAGTCTCCAAGAAGACCAGAGGCGAGATGTGGGTGCAGCCAGCCAGGGTTCTAGGGAAAATCCACTACTGCCACTTGTCACACCAACTGTGACTTCCACAAACACAGGCTCTGCAGTAAGGCCTGGGTGTCAGAAGTGCTGCCTCTGGTACCCTCACACCCTCACCACCGCGGAGCCAGAGTTTGGCCCATTCCCTTCTTTCATCTTGCAAATCTTTCTTGCAAGAAACATCGAATCTTTCCAACTTCATCTTCCAGTTTGAAGTTTGGCTGCGCCTGATGGGAGGGGCCTGGTCACATGCCCGTGCTGCACAGGGGGTCAAGGAGGCGAGTGTGTCATGGGAAATTTCTCAGGCGTTCAAAAGTGTGGGGTGTTCAGAACACATGTCACACGAACGCGATATCACATTACCTCGGCAGAAAGGCCTCTGACAACCCTAAGTACATCATACACATTCTCACCACCAACGCCCTATTATTCATTCGCTGCAGTCTGTTATTTTCTTCCAGGCATTTATCACAACTTACATACTCATTTGTTCAAGTGCCTTGAAGTCCTGAAGCCAGAGCCCAGTCTCCACGTGGAGTTTCATTCAAACAAGTGTCATTCAAAAATATTTTTTAAATGTACTTTAGTCTTTAATGATCTCCTAGAAGAAGAAAAAGCATCCAAGAGGCTCTGAGTCACAATTCCCAACAGTTCCCATAGGTTCATAGTCCCTTTCCTTTCTCTTTCATTCTCCCGAGTCCTGGTGTGGTGGTGTAGCATTTTCTTCGTACATTTTGCTCCTAGGGCTCTGCCTTGAAATCTTTTCTGCCTGTTCTCTTATTTTGCATCACAAACATTCAGAACTGGTCTGAAAGATACATTATTTTGCCGGGGAGGAGTGGGGAGTTGAGAGGCAAAGTTGTTACCAGACAGAGGAGACGGGGAACATTGACGCATTGATCATTTTGGTTCACCACTTGTGGTGAACTCCAGATCGTAAGTTTTATGAGGACAGGGTCAATGTCTATTCTGTTTGCACCTAACACAAACTCTGACAAATAGTCAATTAACACGTTTTCTGGAGGAAAAAAAAAGTCCACCAACGGAGGTAAAGACGAGGAAATACACAGCCCAGAGCAGGGACACCTGGCCTAGTGAGGGTCGGGGGCGGGGGGGGGGGGTGCCGCCTGTAGGGCTGATTTGGGAGGGCCTCTTGGAGGAGGTGTGGCCAAAGCAGACTCTTGAAGGACAAGCATTCACCAGACAAAGGAGGTGAAGGCAGAGAACTGTATTCCAGGTCGAAGTGTGGCCCAAGCCCAGACAAATGGCGAACGGTGTGGTGTGCTACTGCTAAATGAGAAGTAGCAGAACTGTTGGGAGGCGAGGCTGCAGGGCCAGAGGCGGGCGTGCAAGGCCCGGGGCGCCACACCAAGGAGGGTGGGCTTTGTCCTAGGGACGATGGACCCAGCGGGCAGGGTGAGGAGCCCTCAGATTTTTATTTGGTGAGATCACTGTGTGGCAGTGTGAGGCTGGATCTGAAAGAGGTGAAAGAAAAAAAGAGTAATTGCAGAGCAAACAAACTGCAGGCTGTACTAGGGCAGCAGTACGCAGTAGGGATACGTAGTTAGCAACAGAAAAGTTATCTGGGGGTCGTATTGGCAGAACTGGGTGGCTGACTGGATGAGGACAGTGAGGGAGGAATCTAGAATAGTGTCCAGACTTCTCGGTTGGATGATAATGTCCTTAACTGGGGAAGAATAAACAGGTGGAGTCAGAGGTTGGCAGTAGTGGGGAGAGGGGCAGATTCCCAGTTCAGGATGGTGAGGTTGACTTCAAAGTGCCTGTAGGACTTCTTGGTCAGCTGGCCCTTGGATCAATGAGTCTGCAGCTGAAGCAAAGGCCAGGGTCAGAGATACAGACTGAGGAGGGAGCAGCATGGGGGTGCACTGGGAACAGCTGCTGTTCTCAGGGTGGCATCTGGTCCTGTGGACATTCTTTTCCCACCTCCCTGACCTCTGACTGCCAACCTGACACTGCCACACAGTGATCTCACTAAATGAACCTCTGACCTCTGACCACTCCTTCTCCGAATGCTTTGCAGGCTCTTCTCACTCCTCCCCTAAAATGTGGGGGCCTCAGGTGATTTCACCGCCTGAGTCCCCTAGTGCATCTATCGAAGCCTTATCTCCAGCCCAGGATTCTTATGTAAGGTGAGACCCATGTGTCCATCCACTCTCTAAGAGAAAAGAGGGAGACGGCAAAGGGCTGGTGGCTCTCTGCCCTGTTTCCTTGCATCCAAGACTGGGCACTCTGAACTGAACTCGGCTGTGACTATTTCTTGTTTCTCCGAAAACACCGAAGTTGGAGATCAGGTTAGAATTCAGGTTTGTTAATATGCATTCATCTGTACCCCACCTCCCCACCCTGCTTTAACCCTGCACACTCCTTCTCAAGGCTAACTCCCCCTTCATGGCTGCCTAGTGTATTGTTTTCTTTCAGCCAGGAATCGGTAGCAAAGCAACGTGGAAATAAAATGTAAATCTTATTGATGTAGAATAAAAATGATTTCGTATTATAAATGAGGAAAACCAGTTTACATGGATCTGCTTTTTTAGAACAAAAATGAGAACTCCTATTTGGTGGGAAAGGAGTGTTTTTTACTCTAGATCACCTCGTTCTGTGATCACTGTTTCAGTGATGAGACTCTGAACCCGCAAGCAAACCATGCCACGACTTACACTTTTTATGTCGAGAAGTTGGTTAGAACACAAAACCAGTATTTTGATAAATTCATTTCAAAATGTTTTTCACATCAATTACTTAAAACTAGTTACAATATGGTCTTCCACCCCCAAGGAGTACAGGGGTGATCTTGGACTCGATTAGATGCATTGAAAACAAACACACTAGAGAAAGGCTTCCTGAGAGTTGGTCTCACGTGAGGTGATGACCACCAACCGTACCCAAGTTCACCAGCGGCTTCAGTGTAATTCTTCAGTATATTTCTATTGTGAACCGATTTCTTTCCATTTAACCCTTTGGGATGATTTCTGCGCTATGAGTCTTTAGCATCTTGAAAATTTCACAGAAGTGATTAAGAAAGTTTCCGTTATTCCGGAAGCCACTGGTATAAATCATCCTTCTTCTATCAGGTTAACTGTTCAGAAAGGTGCATGGTCAACATGGTCAGCGCCCAAACGAGCTGCACTGAGTGGCCCTCAGCCCACAGCACTGTCCTTGCAGGGTAAAGGGCGCCAGGCCAAGTGTGAGGAATGCTCAGTTGCATAACAATGAATTCGGGCTCAGGTAAACTGGGTATATTTTTTAACCTCAGGCTTATCAAGAGTTAGAGGACTCATCTCCATTTGCATATACACCCTCAGACCCATCCAGAGAGATGTGTAAGAACATAATAATGTCTGTTCTTCACAGAGTACTCAGGACTTCGACAAGTCACAGGTTTATATAAATGCCCATTTTCATACCCATTTATGAATTCAAATTTTTCTCAAAAAGAATAGGAGATACTGTCTTCTGCAATTAATTTTGGATAGGAATACTTTGACACAGGAAATTGTAATAGTTTCTTCCCTTGGTTTAAACTCCTCTTACCAATTTATGACATTTTTTCCATCATATACTAAATTCTACCAATTCTCACATTAATTTACTATTATTACCAAAATAACTTCAAATTATTTGTATATATCTCTATATATCTCTATATCTATATATATATATATATCTATATAGATATATATTAAGTTGAACCTTACTAAATAACTTAATATTTGACTGTTTTTGATCTATGAAAACAGTTTTTCACATGGTTGAATCTAATAAAATCTTGACTTTAGTTGGATGTTTCTATTTCTTTGTATGTATGCTATGTGGAACTTTCATCTTTACTTCGGTGCGGAGCATGAAGATGCTCACTCGTCACCAGTTCTTACACAGCCTTGCAAAACTGTCTGCTGACTACTGGTGAAGTTCATGAAAATAGCTAGAGGTGCAGTAGTTCAGTATCCGGCCAAAATCATCTGTTCCAACTGGACATACTGTCTTTGTAAGTACACCACCCATCTGCTCTGGAACAACCTACCACAAAAGATGGCTTTTGAAGGCATAGATAGGGTCAAGTCTAGAACCAGCAGACTAAAGACCAAAGCATTTTCAATTGGGAATTCTACATCTGTGTCTTCAATACCATTTAACATGCAGTGGCCACCCTGAGACCCCATGCTAAGCACCAGTAAAAGAGAGATGCCCAGACCTTGCTTTCATGAAACTTACCATTGTTCAAGACATAGAAAAATATAAATAACAAGAGGATAGCCTAAGTGTTTTACGTTTCAAACTGGGACAGAGGAAATTGTAAAAAGAAGACAGCACTTAGGAGGTTTTAAATTGACTTCAAACACTGAGGGCAAAAAGCCAAATACAAACGTGTCTCCAGCTTAAACCAAAGGTTTCCGCTAACATTCTGGACCCAAGAAGTCCTTTTATCACCCCAGAAATAGTGGCTAGAGATCCTCCAGGTCAGTTAAATCCACAGCCACTTTCAAGAATATGGTGTCATCTTTAATGTAGGTGTTCTTGGCATTCTCTAAAGTGGAGTGAGCCACGAAGCGAGGACAGCCAGAGGCAATGTTCATCTCCCCATCAGGTCTTTTAAAGCTGCTGCTATTGGGGTCTGCCTTGAAGGTCTCTATAATATGGTTCTTTTTGCCACTCTGGTCCAAAAGCATCAGGGTTACCCTCTGCCTGAATGGCCACTGCAACAGTGAGTCAAACTCCCCTCGCATCACCACAAAGTACAGCGACAGGTGCGTCCCCTTCCCGGACCCGTCCCCGTTCAGGTATGCTCTGGCACAGAGTCGGTAGCCACAGCGGCTGGTGTAGAAGGGCTGGCTGAAGATGGACACTGTGTACCCGTCCACCGCCTCCTTCTTCTTCATCTTGTAGTCAGTCACCTTCCAGATGAGCTTTCCATTATAGCAGGCACCTTCCAGCAGTTTAAATCGCTCTTCATTTTTATTCAGCTGTGCTTTGTGAGTATTAATGTGGGCATCATGTTTGTTCGTCTCCCCTTCTAAAACAACTGCAAAGAAGAAAAACAACATCAAAACAGATGTGTAGGCCTGAGTTGTTTTTAGACTTTGCCCAAAGTGGGATATTGTTATCTGAAAAGAACCAATAAAATTCTGACATCCTAAAGACGCAGTGAATTCAGTGTCCACCAATGGACCATTTGTATTAATATCAGCTTAGTGAATCTCATGTCTTAGCCAGAGTGGCATCAAGCAAACTCGAATGCGTCCTCTTGAACTAAAAGCTCACCCACGTGTAAAGAAGACACACTCAGCAGTCAACTAACATGTTAGCATGGAGAGCCCCACAGTTTTCAAACTGGGATGCGTTTAAACAGCCAGACCCTTCCACGTGTCTCTGCACAGGCATACCTTGTTTGATGGCACTTTGTTGTGCTTTGCAAGACAATCTGTGTTTTTTACAGATTGAAGGTTTTGTGGCAACTCTGCCTCGAACAAGTCTATGGGTACCATTTTCTCAGCAGCATTTGTTCACTTCCTGTCTGTGTCACATTTTGGGAATTCTCGCAATATTTCAAACTTTTTAATTATATTTTTTACGGTGATCTGTGATCAGTGGTGATGGAGGTTACTAGGGCAAGACTCTTCACCAGCAAAAAGATTACAACTCACTGAAGGCTCAGATGATGGTTCGCATTTCTTGGTGATAAAGTATCCTTTATTTAAGGCATGCCCATTGTTCTTTCAGGCAATTCTATTGCAGTCTAGTGTAAATATAACTTTTATATGCACAAGGAAACCAAAAAAATCTTGTGATTTACTTTATTGCGATGTTTGCTTTGTTGCAGTGGTCTGGAACCAAACCCATGACATCTCTGACGTATGCTTTCTCTTCAAACAATGTTCCCACCACATCTCTTTCTTAGCTTTCTCATTATCTCCACTCTCAATTAAAAACCGTCATTCCCACCCTGGCTGGTTTGGCTCAACAGTTAGAGCATCATCCTGCGGACCAAAGGGTCTTGGGTTTGATTCCCAGTCAAGGGTACATATCTGGGTTATAGTTTCGTTACCATGAACACATGCAGACAAACGAGTCACCAAAAGGGAATATAAAATATGAGACATACCTAATCTGTGATCATTGCTTTCAAGCAAGGTAATTTTCTGTTTCACTGTATCAATTGCTTCCACCAAAGGCCTCAGATCAAATTTATTTTGTTGCTGGTTTGCCATTTGTAATAACTGACGCACTTGAGCTTCTAGCCAAGCCGACTTGTCAATGTGACTGGCAAGAACCTTTCAGTACAAAATGGATATTAATATCATAATAAATTAATATCATAGTAATTCACTGAGATTACATTTTTTCAACTCAAACATTTCACATTTAATTACTCAATTAATGAAATGAAAACTACACAGTCCAGAATAGAAAATTCAATGAGGATGCAGAGAGTTTAATGACCTATATCTTCCTCCCCCTCCTCTCTCCCTGGTCCTGTCCCAAATCTTTGAACTTCTCATCATCTGATTTTTACTCCTCCCTTGATTTCTCTTCACCTGTTCTCTAACCTATCTTTAGATCTCTATTCTCATGTTGTCTCTCTTCTTACTGTTTCACTGCCTTCTCTTTTTAGAAGCGACTCCTGATTCATTTCAGCTCTACTGGAAGGTAGAGAATGAGCTGGAAGTCAGTCCACCTTTTCTGGCCTAAGAACTACAGGTGGTGCACAAACACACTTGAGATGAGGCCTGAACTTCCGGCTGCTCTCTAGATGGAAGATATTAAATAAAGCTACAACTGTAGTTCCCCTCCACCCTCACCCTCGCTACCATAACTCTGACTGCTCATGGTGTTAGAAAAAGATCAGAATTGAGATACTAACATATAATGCATTTCCTTTTCCTAGACACACACACGCGCACGTGCACACACACACAGTGTGCTGACAAAGTATGGAAACTATATGGCCTGCATCTTCTTGGATCCACATTTCAAAAATATTGCCCATATTCATTATCTTGAAATCGTTTTCACTGTACATTTTATGATCACAATAAAGAAATTATTCATTAGGAATTTGTTTATGGTTATTTCACAGTCAACGATTTACAAATCATTTTTGCTATATTTGAGCGGTGTTTAGAGCATTTCTTCCCAAGGGAATTAATAGTTTCACTTTGTTGACTACAAAATGCAGAACTATAGATGTTCTTAGTGAATCTGAACTCAAGTGACTAATACTGGACCAGCACTAATTAAAACCCTAACTGCCATAAATTATATAAAAGTACTATATCAATGTTAAATTTACTGACATAGCTAAATGTACTGGGGTTATGTAAAAGATCTTTATTCTCATGAAATACATACTGAAGTACGTAGGGGTAAAATACCATAGTATATGCAGCTTATTCTCAAATGTTTCAAAAAGAACAAAGGGAGCCCTGGCTGGTTTTGCTCAGTGGTTAGAGCATCGGACTGCAGAACAGAGAGTCCCGGGTTCGGTTCCCGCTAAGGGCATGTACCTCGGTTGCAGTTTGTCCCTGGCCCCATGGGGTTGTGTGGGTGGCAGCCAGTCGATGTGTCCCTTTCACATTGATGTTTCTCTCTCTCTTCCTCCCTCTCTCCTTCTCGCTCTATCTGAAGATAAATGCAAAAATGTCCTCAGGTGATATTAAAAAAACAACAACAAAGGGAGAGGGAATGAATGAATGAATGTGAATGATGAAGCAAACAGGACAATATACTGACAATGGGTGAGGAGTCTGGATGGAGAACATACAAGTATATTTTGCACTATGTTATTATTGTAGCTTTTCAGTACATTTGAAATTATTTCCATTTCAAAAGATATAACAGAAACCCTCACTGCCAATTAATTAAAGGCTAAATCTTGGCTGTGCATAGAAAGGTCATTTCTCACCTGGATATTTGAGAGGAAGTTTCCATTTTTGCCAAATAGCTGTGTAAACTGCTTGAACTCCTTTTCGAATTTTGTTACAGTTTCTGCTAGCTGCTGAATTTTACTTTCTTTCCGTTCTAGGCTCTTATATAAGTCAGAAATCTAATAACAGAATGTGAATGAGGTCATTTAAATGCATACATACAAATTAAAATAAATGTAGTTCTAAGAAAATACGCAGATAAGAAAGTGTTTCTGGGAAAGTGTTTCTGGGAAAACACACACGCACATATTTACGTATTTCTAAGGAAATATTTACAGGTAGATTCCTATATAATTCTAGGAAAATATTTGCAGATGCTTTGAAAAAACCTGATCCATAGGTTTCTCAGCAGCCTTTTCTACACCTAACCAACTATAATTGTTCATCTAATGATAGTGACGTCAGTTGGCTGAATTTACTGAACTGGTTCTCTTCATTCACTCGGTGTGTACTTATTAAACAACCACAGAGTACTGATCACCATACAACATTAGGTGCCATGTGTACAGTACCAATAGTAATCACTGAAATTTGCTGAATGTCTGTTATACCCTTATAATTCATTAGTTCTTCTATCCTCAAAGAACCCTGTAAGTTGGGTATGAACATCAGTTCCTTTTCACAGACGACAAAACAGGCAGAGAGTTTATCTGCTCAGCGCAGAGCTATCCAGTGGTAGGCAAAACACACTACTCTCTTAGAATTTATAATCTATTTGAAAGAAATAACCAAAAGTCTAAGAGTGACCCTAGACAACTCTTCTCTCATCCTCACATCCACTCTCATTCAGCAATACTTGCCAACTTGAACTCCTACCGTGCAACGAAACAAACGACAACTCATACGTGCACTTCTCATTTCATCTCATCTTGTTTCAGCCTTTGTAACTCCTGGCCTGGATGATACAACAGCGGCCTAACTGGTCCTACACTCTCCCTCACACCCACGCCAGAAGGGAAGCTCTTCAGAAGCCAGGACTGGCACCCCAGCAACTGCTCTGGCACCTGTAGGCGCTTGATAAATATTTGTTGAATGAATGACTGAATGTTCTCCCTATCTACAGTCTTCTTTTTCTCCCATGCATCCTCTATATGGTGTCCACGATAATATGAAGAGACCCTACAGGGTCTGCCCCTGGCTGCCTTCTCAGCCTCATGCCCATTCACTTTCACATGCGCCCAGCCCATACAACTTCTATGTCCCATGAAGCCTTGCTCTCTCAGACACTTCCTCCTCCATCCAGAAAGCACTGCTCTCTAAGCCTCCACTAAAGAGCACACTTTCTCAGAACTATATTTCCTTACTAGGACCACCTACCCAGGCCACCTCTCAAGTTCCATGACACCCTGACCATCATCTAGTATATCATTTACCCTCGTTACGCTTACTGCTTGTTGTTGTTGTTGTTATTTAGGTCTTTTTTTCTTCACTAAATTGTTGAGGCTACATCTCATTTCAAAGTTACAGTTTAATCAGTCTTTCTAATTTTCTCCAGGATCTGACCCTAGAACTCACACACCTACTGTAATCTGAAATCAGACATTATAAAATAATCTGTGGTAGAAAATTCAGCTTCCTCTCTGCAGATGGGTGGTTTTCTTCCTCACATGGGGCTTGAAAAGTCTGATCCTCTGAGATGTTCTAACAAAAGAATTAACTTTTATGATAATCACTCAATAAAATCAGCATTTACACACATACTTTCACTTGATCACTGCAACTCAGTGAAATAAATATGTATGTATTCATTTATCAGGTTGAAAAGCTTCCCAAAGGCAGGTGTTGGGACTTACTACAAAATATATAAAACTCATAGTGCCTAGAATAGATGGTCAACTGCTGTTTCATGGTGATATAGATTTAATTTTAAAACATCAGACACCAACTAGGCACCTCCTAGGTGCCAGGTATTATTAACCAAAAGGTGTGTACAGACAAGCAGAATAGTATCTCATGGAGAGCACTGGGCTGAGAATCGGGGGACATGGGTTTGAGACTGAATCCTGACACAAGTTACAAACACATCAAAATTTCTTTGAGTTTAGCTACTTCCTCTGTTGACTGAGGATCTCAAAGGCATCTTCTACTTTTAATATTCTATAATCCTGTGACTCTGGCTACTTAGTAGAAAAACACCTACCTCCAGTTGACTTACACTGAAACAGCATATATGAATACCAAGAGTTGCAAATCCCAACAATTGCCCTGTCTCCATTTGTATTGGAACCCTTGAATATTTATTTACCCGTTCTTCTAATTGGAAGTTCTTTTCTAAAACGAGCAGCATGTGGTCCCGCAAGGCTGAGTGCTCATGCTGTTGCAGGTTCCTCCGTTTATCCTTCAACATGAAGAGAAAAATAAGTCAGGTTGTTGGAAGTCTTCCAAAACGAGGATGGTGGTGGGATACTCTGCTACAGCGGAACTTCAACAACTTTGCGTATGTGTCCCAGGGTGGGTTGCAGAAAAAATGGCCCCTCCAGTTCCCTTTTCCAGCATTAAGATTCTCCAGTACCCATGAGATCATTTTAAACTGACAGAGACAGAGAATCAGGCCACTATCAAAATTCTCAATGTAGATTTCCTTCCTTGCCCTGAGAATGCAGGGAGGGGCAAAAGTAGGTTTCCAGTTGTGAGTACACAAAACACAGGCTTTATTCTTGCATTATTATTGTTTTTGTAAAGACTTCCTATTTATTGTATACCTACAGGAGGATTAATGAGGACTAGGGGCTGGGAGTTTCTGGCATTAAAAGCACAATTTTCCATATTAATTTTAGTTTTACTTTGAGATTTGTAGAGTCGGAACAGAGTTTCTACGGATATTGTATAGTGGGTGGAAGTCTGTGTGCTGCTTGTGGGTTGAGCTCCAAGGGGCTGCCACCTCCCAAGTCATCTCAAACCTTCTCACATGTCTCAGTTTATGTCCCTGGCTGTCTAATACAGCCATGAGGTCTTGGAGCACTAGGTAACCAACTTTTATGTGACATCCCCACAGGAGTCAATTATTTAATTATAGTTGAGTTGGAATTCCCTATGGGATTCCTGCACATCATGAGGGATACCTCTGACACCTCTACAGAGATTCCTAGTCACCTAGGAATACCCCAGATTTGAGCTGGAGGAGGAAATGCCCCTTATCTTTGGAGCCAAACAAATCCAGGTTCTCATTTATCCAGCAAAAGGCTTTTTTTTTTTTTCAATCCTCACCTGAGGACATTTTTGTATTTATCTTCAGACAGAGCAGGAGGGAGAGAGAGAGGAAGGAAGAGAGAGAGAGAGAAACATCAATGTGAGAGAGACAGATTGACTGGTCGCCACCAACATGACCCCAACCAGGGCTGGGGATGAACCTCAACCGAGGTACATGCCCTTAGTGGGAACCGAACTTGGGTCTCTCTGGTCCGCGGGCTGATGCTCTAACCGCTGAACCAAGCTGGCCAGGGCAAAAGGTTTTGTACAGACCTTCAGAAAGCAATTCCAATTCAAAAGCCAACCACCTTTTTTCCCCTCCTGTCCTTGGTTCTCTTCACCCTTTCCGTTAGATTAGGTTCTCTTCACCCTTAAGCGTTAACTCCACCTCAAGGATTAAAAAAAAAATCTCAGCCTCTTATCTTAAAACAGAGAAGTCCAGAATTCCAAGGAAAACGCACCGAAGTCCACCATTGCAAAAGTGAGGAGCTGGTGGGGCACGATGGGCCCCTGCTTGTGCCTAGCACAGTCTGCTAGGTGGCCTGGGGCAGAATTCTCCAGAATCCTGCCACACTATACACAATACACAATCTGAGTCTCAGTAAGAATATCTGAGTCATGGCATCATAATGGTGGTGGTTAAAATAGCACCAGAATGTTACCAAAGATTGGGCCTCAGGTGAGCAACCTCAATACTTGAGTTATGGCTAAGAAAGAATTCACAGGCAAGACTCAAACTATAAGAAAAATTATTTAGAAAGTCATAGAGGTAGAATAAATGGGCTCAGGAAACAAGTTACAGAGGCCAAAGAAAGCCCCTTAGAGCTTAGGAGAAGGAGAGGCAAGGAAAACATGCCTGGAGGGTGGGGGTGGGGAAGGCATAGTTGTGCTCCATAGAGAGAGTGAGCTGCTATTCTTACATTATTATTTATTAATTATTGTATTCTTTTCCATATGAACAACTATAAACCTACTCTTGCCCCGCCTGTATATGACTGAGTTAAGTGTAGTTATTATCATCTTTCAGTTATTCCCATATGAAACCTATCTCCTAGGTGAGTTAGCTCCTGATCAGGTCTAAGCCTAGGTTTGTTCTCCCTCCTACCATTTCCATTCTGCTATCACCATCCTGCTATCACAGGCCGAAAGTGTGCAACCTAATTGTAATCCCAGCCTAAGCAAATCTGTTGCCTTCATAATCATTCCAAAGTGCCTATATTACCAATAAAAGCAAATCTTAGGGGTTCTGGGTGATCCATGGATTCTAAGCAAACATTCATCATCAATTTCCCTTCTGTTTAGGGTTGGCCCCTTGTCCAGAGAACAACTCCCATCTCCAGCTCTGGTACTGGTGTAAGTTCTAGAATACAACCCAACTGGAAGTTTGGGCCTAACTATAAAGAAGATTCCTTTCAGAGCTAGAAAGCAATTCTGTATATCATGCACTAGAAAGGTAAACCTTTTCATAGCAAAGACAGATACACAGCACATATATGTACACATGTACATATATATATATGTACAAATATAAATATATAAGTATATGTATTTTTTTGTATGTTATGTATCTCCTCTTGGTTCTGTTTCTCTGGAGAACTCTGATGAATACAATTGACAGTCTTAAAGTTCTCATAAGTGAATGTCCTTTTGCATCCCAGATGGAATCAAAGGGTACAAGGAACTCACCCAATGAACTATACAGTAGACTACAGAGGCAGAAACAAAAAGGCACTCCATACCTTTACAGGACAGCCATAGTGCTTAAAAGGACAGTCTTGTTCCATTTCAGGACACACAGCAAGGTGTTCGTCCACCTACAAAAGGGACAGGTTCACACTACAGAAATTCATTAGCAATTCAACTGTCTGGTGTAACTAGCAAGCAGGGAACAGGGCGGCAGGAACAGGAGAAGGAGAAGGCCATGGTAAGGCCCGGCAGAGGGATGCTATGGTGAAAATAGAGGAGAATTATCGGGAAAAGGACAGGGAAGACAGAGACCTAGTTATCATGGGTGTCATTGAAGCCTCAGGCCTTTGCCTAGGCGATTTTATCAGACACACATCATCATGATTACTAAAACTTTACCTTACATAAAATCGACCGAGAGAATTATTTACAGTTACCTCAGTTCTGGGAATAATTTGCAGGCACTTATTGGGACAAGATACTGGGTACTCAGGACACAGGTTTTCCTCATGATTCTGAAACAGGAAAAGTGTGATGAAACAAAGCCCCCCTTGCTTTCAATAGGTCCCTTTCATGCCCTCGGAGTGTTTATACACATGTGTCTTTGGGGATCTACTTGTGTGGCTGACCATCTACAGGAAGGTATGGCCTAGTTCCAGAAAGAGTTATATATAGAAGGCTGCTTTCTCGGTATAAAGGAATTCAATTTTCCAGTGACGCCAAAAGGAAATCGGAAGGCACAGGACTCCCAGGCAGACTGTGGGAGTCATCAGTATGGCTCCTTTGGCACAGGTAAAAGGTACCCATGCTCTTGTTTTATGTCTACACCCTACCCCTCCAGTTAGATCACAACCTCTTGAGGACAGACAGTATCGCCACCTCCTTGGGACCCAGCACTAGCATCACTTCTAGCACACCCACCCTCAGCAGGTGCTCAAACAATATTTTTGCCAATGATATACGAATACAGTCCTACCAACAAGATGTTTTTTCCCCCCTACAGAACTTCCCTCACATGAACTTATTCTTTAGACCTATGTATTTCTGTACAAAACAATAAATCCAGAAAGGTGCTTCCAGTCAGCCATCTGATTCACCGTGATCATTCAGGCAGAATTTAACCCCATAAAGTTGACAAGGACGAATCTTTTTTTTTTTTTTACCTGTAGATTGATTACTGCCACATCCTTTTTGCAATAAAGGCATTTTTCCTCTCGAAACTGGCAGTCTGCGCTCAAATGCTCTTTCAGATCTTTCCGAAGGACTGGCTGCTGACACTTCTCATTGGAACACTGCACCGCTTGAAATAAGCACTGTTGAAGGTGGTCCTGCAACACACAAGAGGGCCGCGGAAGGGAGGCGGCTGCAAGGCCCAGTGCGAGCGCTAGGAGGCGCTGCGAGGAAGGGCGGAAGGCCTGGGAGGGCACCCGCCTCTGCTGGGCAGGGGCTGCTTGGACCCAGGCTGTGAAGGCCAGCCCTCTTGGTGGTAATTAGGAGGATGGGGGAGGTGGGTGAAGAAAGAGGTATGAAGAGTTTATTTTAGATTATCTAGGAATGTGCTCATATTCTCAGGTTAGTTCTTTTTTTTTTATCCTCACTCAAGGACATTTCCCCATTTTTTGTTCAGATAGAGTGGGAAGGAGAAAGAGAGAGACAAAGATCAACGTGAAAGGGACACATTGAGTGGTTGCCACCCACATGACCCAACCAGGGCTGGAGACAAACTGCAACCGAGGTACGTGCCCTTATCGGGAACCAAACCCAGGTCTCTCTGGACTGCAGGCCGATGCTCCAACTGCTGAGCCAAACCGGCCAGGGCTCAGGTTAGTTCTTGAATGTTTCCTTAGGCTTGCCAATGAATTTACCAGATCTTCAAGGACATTTTGTATTTCTTTTGCGCACTCTTTATCCCCACCCCCCAGCACCAAGAAGTAATCTGCAGGTGGTAAAAGCCAGGACAGAAGGGAAGGAGAGAAGAGAAGAAGGGATTAAAGGAAGAAAAGGGAGGGAGAGGAAGCTGGTCCCGAAGGGGTCAAGAAAAGGAGGGAGAGGCGATACAGGATCACGGGCCCAAGGAGCTGGGCATGGCCAGTCTTGTACAGTCAGAAAATGTCTTTAACTGCAATATATGAGAAAAATGACATAAATAGTGTCCATCCCAGTTGTCTTCACTTTCAAAAGTTACGAAAACAGACATATTTTAACAGAACCTTTGGATGACTGTAAATTACTGTGATTCTGACAAGTTATCAAAATCCTAAGGAGCTTGCCTCCCTGAAAAATCCTTTAAAACAGAGTTGGCAAGCTACAGCCCTTAGGCCAACTTGGCCTGCTACCTGTTTTTGTAAATAGAGTTGTTGTTGCTTTTCTAAACGTTTTTCATGTTTTTTTTCTTTATTGCTTTTAGAGAGAGAGGAAGGGAGAGGGAGAGAGAGAGAGAAACATCGATGAGAGAGAACATTGAATGGCCGCCCCCACTGGAGATCAGGCCCACAACCTGGGCATGTGTCCTGACCAGGAATCGAACCAGCAACCTCTTGATTCATGGGCTGATGCTCAGCCACTGAGCCACACCGGGCAGACAGTAAATCGAGTCATTGGAGAACAGCCACATACCTATTCGGTCTCATGGTCTGTGGCTGCTTTCCCTCTAAACAGGAAAGCTGAGCAGCTGTGACAGATGGTGTGGCCACCAAGCCTCAAACATTTACTGTCCGGCTCTTGATGGAAGCGGTTTGCTGACCCCTCCTCTGGAGGAAAAGAGCAAAGAGCTTTTCTATAGGAGGGAAGTAAATTTACCCGTTTTCCTTTGCCTCTGCCAGTAAGAAACAAATGGCGATGGCAAGTGAAATCCACATCCCACATTCACCGATGTTACCCTCAGCTCACCACAACAGTCGGCATTCGTCCAGACTCAGCTCCCTGCGAGATCCCACACCTAGCCACGCAAGGTGGGGAGAACAGTGAAGGAGGGGAAATACCAAACAAAGGTGGAAAGAAACAGCCACTGTTCTCTGGAAGCTGCCGATCTGGTCACTGAAGCTGATCAGTGGTCCACAGAGCCTCTTTTCCTATTCAGGCTTAGCGACAACACAGCAAAGTCGGTAAAGAGGCGCTGCTCTAGGACCCAACTCTCCGAACAAGTGGCCAGGGACTGTCACGGGAAAACACAGCCAAGTTCCGTGAACCTCCAAAGAACTCCCTGGGTTAGCAAGGAAATCATTTGCACATTTATTTATAAGCTCAGTGCCTGAGGGATTTGGAGGCGTGATGGAGAAAATAATCACCTGAAATATATTCCAAAATGCGTGGGTGGGAGTGGAAAATCTCAGCAGCCTCCAAGCAATTCCCTGGAAGCCTGAGATGCCTGCGCCTCATTCATTCGCAGTGTGATCAGACCTGACACGGGCCTGCCATGGCAGGGCCCCGCTTCCAGTCTCAAATTTAACAAGCTTCCTGCCGGATGGAAGAGCCCGTGGGACAGTTTTGTTGGAGAGGAAGTTGACTCCCCTTTGCTTCCCTCATATCTTTTTGTTTGCATCTTATCACAATGCTTCACCTTTTTTTTTTTTTTTTTATCCTCACCCGAGGACATCTTTGCATTTATCCTCAGATACAGCGGTAGGGAGAGAGGAAGGGAGAGAGAGAAACACTGACCGAGAGAGACAGACATATCGAGTGGTTGCCACCCACACAACCCCAACCGGGGCTGGGGACAAACTGCAACAGAGGCACGCACCCTCAGCAGGAACTGAACCCGGGACTCTGTAGCCACTGAGCCAAACCGGCCAGGGCACAATGCTTCACCTTTAAACTCCATCCTGCCTCTGTTCCAATCTGTTTTCTGCCTTAGATCATAAGCTCTAAGAGGCCAGGGTCCACAACTACTGGGAAACACTCACCCCGGCATCTGCTAATGCTTTTGGGCAGTCATACCCTGGCTCCCAACCTAGGGACCTCAAATCCTTCACAGTTCCCTCCGAATGACATGTCCTTGCTTAAGCATTCCTTTGGCCCACCATGTCTCACATCTTCGCTTTTGGATCAATGCCCCTAACCCACAACTGAAGGTCTAGTACAAGGAGCATGTCCTCCATGCCTTCCAGATACAACAAACCTCTTCACTCACACCTTAGCCCCTGGCATGCTGTGCTGCAGAATTTCTAGATAGGAATTCTCTGAGGGCAACCCAATGATCCCCCTCCCCCTTCCCGCTATGCTTAGCCCAGTAACTATCACAGAAAGGTGCTCAATGCACATCGCTGGAAATTGGCAAAGGCAAATGCTGTTTGTGAGTAATACCAACCTGATATCGTCCCAGAATAATCTTGGCATTACATCCAGGAGCATTTTTGCAATACACATATAAATTGAGGACTTCCCTTTTGCAGCAATTGTCTTTAAACACCTAAAAGATAAACATGACAGGTCTCACACTGAACTTTAAAGCAACATGAATTATTATTAATTTGGTCTTCAGGTATGTCTCAGAAGTTGGGTGGAAACTTCCAGGCAGTGGTTGGAATGGAAATACAAGGTTCACCACCATAAAAGGAAAAGCTGACTCAGATACATACTTCTGACAAGTCACTATACATACAAGCCAGGTAATTCAATGTCCAGCGCAGTACTCTGCAGCTAGGAGAATCTGATAGTGAATTTGACCCCACATGCTCAAAGGTCAGGAGGTGGGACTGTGGCTGAGGTGATGCTTTAGGCTTCCTGTCCCAGCAGAAAGGTTTGTATTAGTCATCAGGTGGTCTCACGGAGCTGTGCTGACTTGCTATTTCAGCACAAGTCAGGGTTTGGCAAACTTTCTCCATAAAGCGTCAGATAGTAAATATTTTCAGCTTTGCAGGCCACACTGCAACGGTCTCTGCTCCAACTATTCGACTCTGCCGTACACAATACTTAAATGAATGGGTGTGGCTGTGTTCCAATAACATGTTATTTATGAACACTGAAATATAATTTTCACATGTCACAAACATTATTCTTATTTTTATTTAAAATATTTTTACTTTGAAATAGTTTACAACTCACAAGAAGTTGCAAAAATAGTACAGAGTTCCTGTGTGCCCTTCTTCTGGTGGTTTCCAATGATTTAAAAATATAAAATCGGTTCTTAGCTCACAGGCCATACACAAACAGGTGGCAGGCTGGATCTGTCCCAGCAGATGCCACGTTGCAGCACGCCGACCCCTGGCCGGGTGGGCGACACAGTGCAGCGCTGCCCTCTGCTAGGCTCTTCAGAACACATCGCGAGAGCACAGAAAAGGGGTGTGTGTGTCCCACAGGTGTTCAAGGAGCTTCCCTGGGGCGGGGGGGGGGGGGTGATGCTGGAATGCCCTGTCACAGAATTTCAAAGGAAGAAAACTGAGCTGAAAAGGATGTTTTCACAGAAAAAATCTTCATGACCATGGCTTAGGTTAAGGGTTTCTCAGGTACAATACTCAAAGAACAAGCGACCAAATAAAATACAAGGAAGGCTTTGTCAAAATGACAAACTTTTGTGCTTCAAAGGCAACCATCAAGAAAGTGAAAAGAGCCCTGGCCAGTTTGGCTCAGCGGTTAGAACGTCGGTCTGCAGTCCAGAGAGACCCAGGTTCGGTTCCCGCTAAGGGCATGTACCTCAGTTGCAGTTTGTCCCCGGCCCTGGTTGGTCGTGCGGGTGGCAGCCACTCGATGTGTCCCTTTCACATCGATGTTTCTTTCTCTCTCTCTTCCTCTCTCTCCCTCCCGCTCTATCTGAACAACAACAACAAAAAAATAAAAAAATGGAAAAATGTCCTCGGGTGAGAATTAAAAAAAAAGTGAAAAGACAACCCACAAAATGGGAGAAAAACATTTGTAAGTCATACCTATCTGATGAGACCTGTATCCAGGAAATATAAAGAACTCTTAGAACTCAATAATAAAAGACAAATAATCCACTGAAAAAATAGGCAAGGGAATTGAATAGGCATTTTTTTTAATCCTTTTTAAATCCATTTAAAAAATGTCTGAGGACATTTTTTTTGCATTTATCTTGAGACAGAGCAGGTGGGAGAGAGGAAGGAAGAGAGAGAGAGAGAGAGACATCGACATGAGAGAGACACATCGACTGGTCACCACCCACACGACCCCAGCCAGGGCCGGGGACAAACTGCAACTGAGGTACATGCCCTTAGCAGGAACCAAACCCCAGCCTCTCTGGTCCACCGGCCAACGCTCTAACCCTGAGCCAAACCAGCCAGGGCTGGATAGGCATTTTTACAAAGAACATATACAGAAAAAGGAGGAAGATCTGTAACAAAAATAAATTAATAAAAATTGGAGAAACAAAACAAAACAAAAAGAACATACACAAGTGGCCAAGCACATGAAAAGACACTCAACATCATTAATCATTAGAGAAATGCAAGTCGAAACCACAAAATACCTCTTCGTACCCCCAAGGAAGGCTATAATAATAAAAAGAGAAAAAGGTGGACAATCACAAATTCTGACAAGGACCAGGAGAAATGAGAACTCTCATACATTGTTGGTAGGAACGCAAAATGGTGCAGCTGCTTTGGAAAACAGTCTGGCATTTCCTCTGAAGGCTAAACATAGAGTGACCAAATGATCCAGTAATTCCACCCGTGGGTATATAACCAAGAAACATGTATGCTTTAAAAGTAAATATTACGACACAGGAATTATATCTAGATAAAGCTAATATTAGACCTAACAACAAAAGGAAGTGTTAGAGATTATCCACATGAAAAAGTGAATTCCAGGAAGCTGGATGTTTCATTTCTCCAAGTGACTCAATGTAGCTGGAGCTAGTCTAGGAAGGGGGTAAAGAAGCAGCAGGAAAAGAAACTTAGGGTCAATAAAGACCCAAACAGGCCTCTCTCAAACAGCGGCAGGAGTGGGGTCTGACCTGACCCCTCAGCAGAGGATATGGACTCCAAGTCCCCCTCCCGCTCTCCAGCTTCAGCCTCGATGTCCGACCAGGACACTGGCTTCTCTATCAACTAGAGAGCTGCTAAACCAAAGCAGTGATTTTCTTACCTCCTGAGATTTGATGACCTCCTTATCTACAGGGCAGAGTGGCACTGCATTGAATTCTCTGGAGAGAAAAGTGAAAACAGAGTCAGAATTGAGAGTTGAGCTCAACAGCTCTTCCAGGAGCAGCCCCCGCACTCCAGCCATGCTCGACCCCTGAAGCTTCCCCCGAGCGGGCCAGGCCCTGTCTTCACCCATGCCAGTCCCTTCTCCCAGAAGGCCCCACAGCCCAGTGTCAGCACCTCTCCAGTCTGTCGGTGAGTCCCCCGGACAGAGTTAGATGTCCTCTCCAGGGCTCCCTCGGCAGTCCTTTGCTTATCACACTGTACCATAGCCTGTCTGCTTCACTGGATTGGAATGTTCTAGAAGGCAGAGACTGGGTTCTGTTCCACATGGGACCTCTGGCTCTTCAACTCTGGACACTAGGGTTAGTTCAGCAAGGTGCCTGGACCACACAGGCACTGAAGGAATGAGCCCACGCGTGAACGGGAATGTGCTCTAATAACCCCCTTTCTAAGCTGGGCAGCATACAGCTTCCTCACCGCCCCGGAAAGAGCCCAGATGGCTGCTTTGCTGCCTCCCCTGGTCTACTCCCTCCACAAGGCAGGCCCAGGAGCAACACGAGACTCCTTCTGGCTGCGACACCACCACTGCCACCACCACTGCCTTAGGCAAGGGAAGGTCAGGGTGACGACAGGCTGCTGGGGAAAGTGGGTCGTTCCCCCACGGACTGTGCTTCTAGGTTTGCCCTCAGGTGCAAAACAGGTGTGAGCTGAATGTTAACAACAGGTGAAATCAGTAAGCGAGGGGCGCACACTGGAGACTGCTCCTCGGGCCTCGCAGAAGGGCCCTGGGAGAGCCTGCCCTGGGATTCGTGGCTGCACCACCAACCACAGCGATTCCAAAGCCTTGATGCCGCTGAGTGGCCACGGCTGACAGGTAGATCCCAGGACACCCTCCTGGCTGCGGCCTGCTGCGGCCAGGGCTGCGCTCCCACCCACTCACCTCAGGCACAGGATGCAGTCCTGGCAGAAACGGTGCCCGCAGCCTGTCTGGTGGGGGTTGTGGAGCACCGAGCGGCAGAAGGCACACTTGTATCGCTCTTCCAACTGCTCCACAAACTGGTACTCGGTGTCGGGCTCGAAGTCCAAGGAGATGGAGTTGCCGGAATTCTGGCGGATGAAGCCGCAGGGGAGGCCTCCGTGGTCCTCAGGACAAGCCATTCTGGGCCGTCGGGAGAACAGAAGGAAAATTCAGTGTGCACACACCAAAGCAACTACGAAGAGGTGGTTTTCATTACTGGACATCACCCACATGGTCACTCTGTTCTGACCCAGTAACAGTGACAACCTCCTGCCACTGGAGGGCTCCCGCAGAGGGGAGACATCCCGCGTGCTCAGGTGGGAGGCTGGACCAGGGGTCTTCAAGCAAGATTCTAAGAGAGTTCAGCCCTTTTACAGGATGCTAAGTTATTCTTCAGTTTGGCCACATGCTGGGACAAGATTTAGCCAGGTGTTAACTACATTCTAAGCAAACTCTTAGGAATTTTCTTCCATTCAGTTGAGAGACTTGAAACAAATGTTCTAACATTTTTCAGAAGCAAGAACCACGCGCACACCAATACATTTCTTGCAGTATACAGGGAGCTCCATTTAACATCACTGAAAGGTTCTTGGAACTGCCGCAAAGTAACGCATAACAAAACCAATTTTACCAAAGACTAGTGGATGTAAAGAAGAGTTAAGTTCTTATGGCATCTCATCAACATTTTAACAAAATGACGTTGAACAAAAGATGTATGTAAAGGACTACCACCAACCCACATCATTTTTCACCTGAACTAAATAAGACCCCGTTAACTGCTTTCCCCTCCAATCTCTTCTCCATGCAATAGCCAGGGAGATATTTTTTAAATGCAAGAGTGATTGCTGGTTATCTCCCTTCATCAGTCAGTGGTATCCCAGGGGAAAAGCCATACTGCTGAGCAGGCTACAAGACTGCATCCTCCTCACTCAACAGCATCCTGGACTTCTCCCTCCCTTGCTTTCTGCATTCCAGCCACAGGCTTTCTTTTTTAGTTCTTCTAATACACTATGCTGTCTCCTGCCACAGGGCCTTTGCACAAGCTTTTGCCTCTGTCTAGAGTGCTTACCTTATTCCTTTCCAGTCTCCTTCACTTAGTTAACTCTCATTATGCTTCAAATTTGATTTCAAGCTTTATGTTCTCAGGTAAGCTTGCCGTTTTCTCCCTGGTCTAACAGCAGGGGGCCCACTCACCAGTCTGGAGAACATACATGGTTTCCAGAGAAGGGCTATGGAATAGAGTGGGTGGGGGAGGGGGTTTCTCTGTATAATCCTTTTGAATTCTTTAACATACATATATTACCTATTCAAAAATAGATAAACATATAAAAACAAAAACTAAACATTCACTGTTATACCCATAATAAAACCAGGTTCTTTTCCTTCATAGCAAGACTTGATTTGAAATTTGGCCTGTGTTTGCATGATTTTCTGATTTATACTGTGCTCCTCAGTAACACACAGATGGCATCTGGTCTTGCTCACTGTTGCATCTCCTCACTGTTGCATCTCTGGCCCTTAGCACCAAGCCAGGCGTGGAGAACAACTCAGCTAAGCCAGGCATGGAGAACAACTCAGCTATTTGTTGACTTGATGTTATTAAATGAACATTTTGAAAACCCTCAACAGAGCAGCTATGACTGTTGACCTCTAACACAGTACTTCTTAACCTTTTTTTGAGAAAGAACTTCCCCTTTGAAAATTTGATGAAAACTCTAGACCTTCTCCCTGTACAATAGCACACACTCCTGAAGTCTGGACCTTAGGGCCCCTCCAGTCCCACCGGTACCTCCCAGGTTAACAACGGCCCTGTCTCCCCAGCAGGAAGGCTGTTACTTCTGGCACAGAGCCAGGAGTTGTGCCTGGGGATGTGTCTGGACAATGGTTAATGGATAGGAAGCCATCTGGGGTGGTCCCTGGGAGTGATGTACTTCCACAAGGCTGAGGGACAGGAAGCCTTGGCCTCCTGCTTGCTTGCCCTGGCTTGCTCTTGGGCTCCCTCATGATTCCCTTGCAGCTGCTGAGGTCAACCGGGCCCGGGTGCAGCTGCACAACCTGATCACGTAGGCGGCCCCATTCAACCCTCAGCTGTACTCAAGTCCGCTGCTGGCCTCTCTCACTGCTGGAGAGATATGAGTCTGGGGTGTGCTTGGGTGAAGGGAGCAGACAAAGCAACTGGCCTCTTTCAGCAAACAAAGCTTTCTCTCTGGAGGAGTCCAGCACACCATGGGACATACTTGTTTTGTCCAGGAGTTTGAGACCAAAGCCCCACCTTTTCTTCTCTGCCTGTTTCCTGCCAAATGTAGAGGACAGGTGATCAGTCCAAGAATGATTGTCCCCCTTTTTAACACGGTTTACTCTCGAGATTTAACATTTTATAGTATGAAGATCAACAGGCATCGCCCTTGAGTTACAGACACAATCCTAATAGTGGAGACTCCCCTTTCTCTCAGAGCAGTAAAAGGCCAATTCCAAACGGCCCTCATCTGCCCTGTGTTCTCTAGTCCCAAGCGAGGTTGACAGTTCATTTCCTATACCTCTCTGGGATTCTCTCCTGAGACCAGGCTCATGTCTGTGTCACACAGCGTCTAACTTTGGACGCCGAGATGTACCCTAAAGCAGCAGGCTGGTTTAGCCTCCAGAACAAGGCAGTAGGATGTACAAAACTCAATTCGAGTTCCCCTCCACTATACTCTACCCTCTTTCCTACCACAAGAATTGAATGCACTCATCTGTGTGTCTGTCCATCTTTCTCTATAACAGCAGTTCTCAAACTTTTTGTTCTCAGTCCCCCTCCCCCTCCCTTTAGGCTCTTAATAATTGAGGACCCAAAGACCCAGAATAGCCAGCTCAGTAGAAAAGAAGTGGAACAAAATAGGAGGACTGACACTACCCAACTTCAAGACTTTCCATAAAGCTACAGTAATCAGGACAGTGTGCTACTGGCAAAAGATAGTGGAACAGAATAGAGAGCTCAGGAGTAGACCTGTGCAAATACAGTTAGCTGGTCTCTGACAAAGGGGCCAAGACAACACAATAAGCAAAGATAGTCTTTTCGCAAATGGTGCTGGAACAACTATAAATCCACAAAGCAACAACAATAACAAATAATACGAATCCAGACACAAACTTTACACCATTCACAAAAATTAACTCAAAATGGATCATAGACCTAAATGTAAAATGCACAACTATTGAACTCCTAGAAAATAACACAGGAGAAAAATCTAGATGAACATTGGTTTGACAATGGCCACACCAAAGGCACAATCCATGAAAGAAAGAATTGATACACTGGGCTTCATTAAAATTAAAAAATTTTTGCTCTGTGAAAGATACTGTCAAGAAAATGAGAAGATATGCCAGAGATTGGTAGAAAATATGTGCAAAATATATATCTGATAAACAAATGTTATCCAAAATATACTTCACCAAAGAAGATATACAGATGGCAAATAAGTATACAAAAAGGTGTTCTACATCCTCTGTCATCAGGGAAATGCAAATTAAAACAACAATGAGGTACCACTATACACCAATTAGAACAACCAGAACCCAGAACTCTGGTGAGAACGTGTAGCAACAGGTATTCTTATACATTGCTGGTAGGCATGTAACACTTTGGAAGACAGTTTCAGTTTCTTACAAAACTAACATACTCTTAACATCTGATCCAGCAATCATACTGCTTGGTATTTACTCAAGAGAACTGGAAACCCTTGTCCACATAAACCCCTGCACACAAATGTTTTATAGGAGCTTCATCTCAAATTACCCAAACTACAAGTAATCAAGATGTCCGTTAGTAGGTGAATGGATAAAGTGTGGTACATCCAGACAATACAATGTTATTCAGCACTAAAAAGAAATGAGCTATCAAACCATGAAGAGACATGGAGGAATTTTCAATGCATATTACTAAGTGAAAGAAGTCAATCTGAAAAGGCTCCAGACTGTAGGACTCCAACTATAGGACATTCTGGAAAAGGCAAAACTGTGGAGGCAGTAAAAAGATCAGCGGTTGTCAGGGGTTAGGATGGAGGAAGGAAACAATGAGTAGGTGGATCACTGAGGATTTTTAGGGCAATGAAATTACTCTGTATGATACTATAATGGTGGATACATGTCTTATACAATTGTCCAAACCCAGAGAACAGTGATTTTCAACCATTTTCATTTCATGGCACACATAAATTAATTACTAAAATTCTGTGGCACACCAAAAAAAATTTTGTTGTTGTTGATCTGACAAAAAAAAAGGTGTGATTTTGATTCATCCACACTGGATGGCTATTCTCATTTTGGGAGTTTCGTCAATGAGGAAGCAATGACTCATCACAGAAGAAGAAACTAGAAGTTGACACCCAGACAAACTTTTACACACTCCCATCTATTCTTCTAAGGGCCCATTCATCTTTCTTAAAAATTATTTACTCTCCCCTAAAGGCCTACACACATACACCCCCTTTCCTTATTAAAATGGTGTTCAAGCCTGAGTTCTAAGCAACCTTGGAGAGTTCCTCTTCTTTCCCTGGGTGTCTCCCATGTATATGTGAAGTACATAAACTTCTGTTTGGTTTTCCCTTGTTAATCTGTCCTTTATTACCCGGTCTCAGCTAAGAACTCAGAAGGTTAGACGGCAAATTATTTTCCTCCTTTACACAATGTAGGTTCATCAGCTGTGACAAATGTACCACTCTGTTAGGGATGTTGACAATGGAGGGGGCTGTGCATGTGTGGGGGCAAGGAGTGTATGGGAAATCTCTGCACCTGCCACTCAATCTTGCTGTGAACCT